GACCCTAGCTCGCAGCCATCTTCGCGCGCAGACGCTCCTGAGCATCTAGACGACGACGAAGCTCGCATACAAAAGCTATGCCGGGAAGGGGGAGTAGGACTCATCACGGAGCTGCTTTCAAAGGCGATTCCGAATGAGACCGTCCCAGACACGTCCAATATTCGCAATTGGACATTTCGCGATATTTACAAGCTGCCGAAGGCGCTACAGAAGGAGTGGTTTGACGCTTGCCGCGAGGAGCTTGAGGCGCTCCGTCAGCGCAAGGTTTACTCCCTTGTGGACCGTCCGAAAGGACGGAAGGTCATCAAATGCCGCTGGGTCTTTGATCAGAAATCTGATGGCCGCAAACGAGCCCGGCTTGTAGCCAAGGGGTTCAGTCAAGTCGAGGGCATCGACTATGACGAAATCTTCTCGCCTGTTGTCAGGTACGAGACGTTCCGACTGGTCATCGCGCTTGCCGCGCTTGAAGGCTGGCATATGTCAGGTCTTGACGTCAGGAAAGCCTTTCTATACGGCGATCTAGACGAAGAGATCTACATGGAACAACCCGAAGGCTTTATTGCCAAAGGGAAGCAGGGCAAAGTCATGCTCCTGCACAAGGCGATCTACGGACTGAAACAAGCTGCTCTCGCATGGTGGAAAGCGCTGACGAAGTCCACAAAAGCCATGGGCTGGGTCCGACTCACATCGGATGCCGGTGTCTTCTTCTACGAGGACTCGAACGGTCACTTCTGTGTGATCATTGTCTACGTAGATGACGCGATGTTCTTCTCGAAGGACAAGAAGCTCATTGCCTTTCTCAAGGCTGAGTTCAACAAGCGATGGGAATGCCGCAATCAGGAAATCACTGAGGAGTTCCTGCGCATGCGCATCACACGAGACGGATCTAAGATCAAGCTCGATCAGATTCCGTACCTCGATAAGGTGCTGCAACGCTTTGGGATGCAGAACTGCAAGTTCGCAGCGACACCTCTACCGGCCGGCTACGTTCCGATGCCAAATGAGGATGAAGTCGATCCCGCACTCCGTCAGAAATTCCAGTCGGTCATTGGATCGCTTCTCTTCATCATGTTGGGCACACGCTCCGACATTGCGTTCGCAGTGACCAAGTTGTCACAGTTCGCCGCCAACCCGTCTCAGGATCACCTCCATAAAGCGCTGTATATCTGCCGCTATTTGGCTGGTACCAGGGATTACGCACTTGTCTTTGATGGCAAATCCAATGGCGGACTTATTGCGTACACTGATTCGGATTGGGCCTCCGATCCAATCAAGAGGAGATCGACCACCGGCTTCTTCATGAAGTTGGCCAACGGGAACATCTGCTGGCAGTCACGTTTGCAGCGCACAGTCGCAGCCTCGTCGACAGAAGCAGAATACATGGCGCTCTCCGACTGTAGCCGCCAGGTGATGTGGCTGAAGAGTCTCTTAGCAGAACTCAGACGCAAAATCACTGTTCCTGTCCCCATCTGCGGTGACAACCAGGGCTCCATCTTCACGGGCTCTAACGCCTACCGAGACCGCCGGATGAAACACATCGACATCCGTTACCACTACATCCGTGAGCTGGTCGAGGAGAAGGAGGTCGAGTTGTTCTTTATAGACGGCTCAGACAACCCTGCGGATTTGTTCACCAAGAACTTAGGGCGCACTCTGTTCTTGAAGTTCAGATCGCAACTAGGACTTGAGTTCTACTCGTCCTAGACGGCCGATGAAGATATGCGCTTGCATACGCTGGCGCGCACTTAGCGAGGGGGAGTGTTGAACATTCGGCCTGTCACGACATGTCACGTGTGCATCACATGCACTTACACGCGAGTATCATATGACTCAGATGGACACATATGGACACATAGGTTGGACTTGTCACATGTACGCTTTACTCAGCGTGTTCTGTCCTCTTGACTCATTAGCTATTACTACGTATGACATCGTCGCCTCTCCTGTAGTATATAAGGAGGGCTCCTCTGCCCTGTAATAACAGGTCTTCACCTACTCTGCGCATAGCCTCTAGCTAAGCTCTCTTATATTCAGGTAAGCTGAGTGGTGCGCTTCCCAGCATGCTCAACAGTGCGCGCAGACGCGTGAGAGGGTGCTGAGGGTAGGAAGGGGTACGCGCTGCGCGTGAGAGGCGACGGCAGCCCTCAACGCGCGCTCACCGTGGTTGGTGATCGGTGGAGGGAGTGGGGGAGGGGGTCGATCGCCGCACCCGGCGTTTTTCCCAGCCCGCGTCGACTGCCAGGGTGAGGAGGGATAGGGTGTGAGAATGGGGTGTGGCAAGGCACGCGGTAGGTCCGCGAACGTTGCCCGCGCTGGTACGCGTCGAATTTTGGGGTTAGGCAGCGCGCGCGGGCAAACACGCGTATTTGCGCGCGATCGGGGGGCTTCTTGAGGCGAGGGCGCGAGAGCGGAGGGCGCAGGTGGTTTGTATGAAGGAAGAGAGGCGGCAGGCGGACGAGTGGCGGTGAATGGCGATGAGGAGGTGGTGGTGGGAGGTGAGATGTGGTGGGTTGATCGCAGGCCTGTGCGCACGACAATGAGTAGGTGTGTGCACAAAATCGGAGCGTGGGAGGTTGGGGAAGGTCTTGGGCATCGCGTTGGGCTATATTAGAGGGGTCAGCGAGGTTGTGAGTATGCAGAGACTCACGAAGACGCAGGCTGAAGTTATCTAGATGTTCGGGTCGACGGAAACAGGTCTTGGGACCACGCGGAAGCCGGACCGGGCGTCCGAGAGGCCTCATCGCCGTCAAAAACGCCCTCGGGAGCACGCGAATCAGACCCAATTTACTCCAATGTTTTTGCAAACAGTAGAGGAGTATCCGAAGAAAATCCATGCGAAGTTTCAGCAAGCCTTTGTGCATAGAACGGCCGCCAATAGCAACATTAACGCCAAATCTGTCGAAATCAAGCACTATCACTCGATCTACATATAATCTACAGCTGAGAATATTATACGCAATACATGCCAAGATAGCCCCAGCGTCCACCTACAGTACGCCGTTTATTTGATGCAAATCCGCCCAGGTTTCGCCGAGATCGACGCGAAAAGGTGGTTGTACAGACTGAGATTTGAGGAATGCATGATTCTGCACATAATACCTGGGACAGTCGACTTCAATTTGGGTGGGACTCAGGCATTGTGTCCATTCCATACCTCATAAGCGTCATCTTCTACATGTATACTAATGTATCCTGTGATGCTTTTAGTACAAAAAGGTTCACGGCCTTCTTCCGAGGCCATCGACGTCGACGACGACGGCCTTCGGACGTCGGACCGCGCTTCCGGACCGGTCATCCGAGGCGCCAGCCCGCGCGTTCTTTCTGTCCTCAACCACCATTCCTGCACCCCACGTCACCTCGCCCTTCCCTCATCTCTCCTTCTCGCTTCCCTATTGACACCTTCCCCCTTTTTTGGCGCCGTCTCACCGCACCATCCCTCACGATCGAATTATCGCTTAGAAGAATCGACTTTTGCGCGTAGGGCAATGCTTCGTGCCTCGTGCCCCGCCCAAGAGTGCGTGAGGGTCACCAGATGCTGAGGGCGCTATTCGCGTACCTGTGGAGGTGGAAGAAGGTGCGTGACTATGTCCTATGCCCTCTATATGTACTGATATATTTCTTTCATGCTATTTAGAGATCGGGTGCTGCTGCTCCACCCCTCCCACGACGAGCCTAGCGCGATGGACGGCCCTTGAAGACCATCCTGAAGTTCTGTGGCCATCTCCCTCCCCATGCCTTCCAACGAGACACGCGCCCTGTGCCGAGCACGGCCCGTTCGAGTACCCACCGCACTGGCGAATTCGCGGTGCTGTACTCGGTGCGGGGCGCGTTTCTCGATTCTCCTAGACCTTCTTGGTCTAGGTAGATGGGAGGGAAGATTTCTGGGGCGTGTACGGTCGTGCCACTACCCGCCCGCGCACTGGCGCGCCACGCGTCACACGCGCGTGACTGCCCGGTCGCAACCACGTCACAGGACGCGTCCCCATCGCCACCGCCATTGCTGCCCTTGCGCGTTCGCGTCCGCAGCGGCCTTCGCCCTCCCCCTTTTTGGCCTTCCTCAGCTACGCGACCACGCGCGAGAACGGAGCCGCCAGCGCCAGAGGGTCACACGGCAATGCGTGAGAGCAAACTAGCCAAACCCCCACCCACCATCTTTGTCCGCGATGATGAGGCTCCCAAGAGGAGGGTTTCTGCCTCGCATCCCACGTCCCCATTCATGCAATCACACTCTCGTAGACCAGCTTCCGCTGGCTACTTGGACCGCGTCACCCCCAGCACACACATCGCCCAGGCAACGGCCTATTGTCGTTGTCTGGGCTGCTCAATGCGCCCCGTACACACCCTTCCCCTCCCCTCCCCATTTCCGAACGCGTGCTTGCGTCCGCGTGCCTGCGCGGGCTGCATTGCACGTGTCGCATTGGCGAAAAATTTTTGCTGGCGCTTTTTCGCATTTTCTCTTCACTTCGCGCATCCCGCACGCATTCTACGTACTTTTCGTGTACATATTGTATATACACCTTATCTCTGCTGTACGCGCGCGGACGAGCACGACCCGCAGCGGCGGCGGCAGCACGCGGCACGACGTCAACGCGACGCGCTGACGTGGCTGTGCAGCCGCGCCAGCGGCGCATCAACGGCGGGCGGCGCGCGGGAGCCCCGATGGCGGCAGCATCACGCGCGACAGCCGACGCGTGCGGCGCGATCACCCGCGGCGGCGAGCCCGGAGGTCGCCTGCCGCATTGGGCGCAGCCCGGCAACGTCCCGGGCAGCTTCCGGGCGGCCGTGGCTGTGCGGAGAAGACATTCGCTACATTATCAAAAGTACGGCAGACACTTGTCTGCTACTTTTTAAAACAGTTTACCTGCACAGGTGCGCTCGCGCTGTCTTCAAGCACCGCGCGACTCCGGGTGGGGGTGGGGTGTAATCAATGCGCAAGCACGTGTTTGAACGTGTTTTTCGCGTCTTTTGTAGCGTGTTTGGTGGTGATAAAGAGGGGGAGGGGATCCGGGAAGTGGGGGAGCGGGCACGGGGACGTGGTGGTGGTCGAGAGTCAAGAGACGCGCGGGCAGGACGCGCCGGATGACCGGGCCGGTGGCTCGGTCCGAGGTCCGGGCTTCGTCGTCGACGCGCTCGACGGCCTCGGACTCAGGCCAAGGGTGTCCGCAGTACATCTGGTCATCGTTTGGTATTAGTGTACTTTAATCAAGACAGTTCCCTAAAGTTTGGGAAGGATTGGATCATGAGAATGTACAGAACTCGATCTTGGGTACTACTACACAGGAGGATCATGTATTCCTATGTGTATCTAGTAGGATCCGGGGCCATTTTGCTTCCCCTCACCCTGAATTTCCTCAGATGGACATCAAACAAAATTTATCGTGTAGGGGGAGATGTGCTCTACATTGTTGCGCTCTGCAATAATCCCATATCCTAACAGATACATCACAAACAAGGATGAACAGTCATATGGTGCTCGGATAGCGGTGTTCTGCACGTTTTGGGTATATACCTGGCGTCCCACTGACCCCAAACTCTCACTACATACCCTATACATGTTTGCCCTGAGGTGTATATACTTCTTTGAGCCTTGGACACAAATCAGGGTCTTACTGAGGGCATTTACTTCGCTACGCGGTTCCAAATCGTGCGCTATGGTCCCAAATCACCTGATAACACATATACCCTAGCTTTACTGTCCTCTTCTTCGTCCCCCTCCCTCTAGGATCCTTTTTACAGCCTTCAATCCCTTCTAAGAACCCCTCCCTTGTCCATTTTTGTTGTTATTCACCCTCCCGGACGACGCATGCGCTGCGCCAAGATCGTGACACATCCGTCACTCCGATCGCGGACGCGTCACATCTTGTCTCCCACCACCACCACCGCTCCCCCCAACGTCGCTCATCGCCCAATGGCTGCCCTATCGGACACGGAAGGCGAGGAGGAGGGGGAGGGGGCTCCAAGTAGCCCCCAAGGTACGTAATCGTAACAAAATACGCATTAACATGCTGACGAAAAATTTCAGCGTCGCTCGCGTTCCCGAGCGGCGCTGCGCCTCGCTGTCTGGGCCCCCTCTCCGACCCCGGCACCCGTCCTCTTTCAGCCACGGACCTAGGCGCCCGCATCCATCAAAACCTTTCCCTCCCTTCTTCGCGCTAGCCGCCCACGCCCCCCATCCTCCATGTCCCCCAGCCTCCCCGCGCCCTATGTCGTCACCGCTCGCGCATCACGCGTTAGCGAAGCACGTCAATTGCGCGCGACGACGGCATGAGCCCCCCTCCCCCCCCGCTGCCGCCCTGCTACCCGCGCGCGCAGCCCGCCGTCAACGCCAACTGGCATTGCGGCATAAATGCGCGCGTGGAAGCTTTCAGCGGCTCCACCTACACCCCTCTCACCACGCGCGAGGCTGGGGAGTAAGGGAAGCGCCAATACAGCGCAGGAAAGGGGGAGATGACGAGGGGAATGCAGGGAGCCCGCGCGCCCACCTGCGAAGGGTGCGCGCGGGTTCGCGCGGCCTCTCATAGACTAGCCGTACGCGTACGCGTTCGGCTACTATATGAGAGATGATCAATGCCAATACGCCGACCCATCGACGTGCGAGAACAAAGCCGCCAACCGCAAGCCCCACCCAAGGCCCGGAGAAGCAGTAATCACTGCCCCCTCCAGCGCGTTCAAGGTGCTACGGGGAGCACACCCCCTACCCCATACCCTCACCCCCTTCTCTACGCCGTCTCCGCGCAAGGCGTGGATGTGCGATCTCCGTGCCCCCGCCGCCGCGAAAATCTCGCGCGCGGCGGGATTTGAATGTACATATATACGTTTGCATGTAGTATATACATATAATAAAACTCTTATACACTGCTTTGAGCATGCAAGCGCGAGCGGGAACGGCAGCGACGCGCGCTCGACGCGTCCCGACGCGTCGAGCGCGGGCACATGCTCCCCCCGACGCGCCATCAAAGCGCGCGCATCACAGCCGACGTCGGCGACGCACGCATCACGGCCACGGCGCCGTATAAGGGAACGATCCCGCCGCCCGGCTCCTCCAGCGGAGGTCGGTCTCGGCAATTGCCGGGCCTGTGAACCTACTCGCAGGAGTTGCAACCTGCCCTCCGACTAATCTCGGGGGAAGTTATAACCCGGCCTACAGCATAAGGTGCGACGGTGCCCTCCCTAAGCGCCCATTATCGTCGCATGACCTGCAAGCGACACTGCGAGAGTGCAAGACGCGAGCACTTCAGTACAGGGAGTGTATCGTACCAATCTCTCGCGGGCGCTTACCTTGCCAATGTATTCCGAAGCGCACCGGCTCCAGATCAGCCTCGCATGATTCTCAGGAGGTTTGGTGTCCGTGGGAAGCGCATTGGAAGGTCGCAGCTGGAAAGAGTCAAGGAGGAAGCATATAGGACAAGTGAAGGAAGACTGAGGGCGTCCATGAGTGCCAGAGACGGCCTGGCGCATTTTCAGTAAGTCCTTTACTATGAGTACATACGAGTGTCGATGAAGTGCCCGCTGCCCAACGCGTCTGTTTGCTTTCGTGAATCACATCCTCCGTGCATCGCTGCTGTCGGTCGCAGTTATGGCGGCTGTACTTCTTTGCAGCGGCAAGCACCTGCTGACGCTGTGGTCCCAGGAGTAGGCGCGGCTCCCGCGCGCCAACTGGGGTCTTTGGAGCCCTGAGTCATTCAGCCCCGAGTGAACGCTAGCTTGCCTGCGCGCGCGTCTTGTCACCGCTATCGAGGCAAGCCTGATAAGCCCTTTTCACTCACCTGGTCTTGTGAGCTCCCGCAGTCTCCTTTCAAGGCGACTGTTGCGACATCATGAGAAAGTTCAAGGTAAGTTGTGATCGAGCGCACCATAAGACGCGGCACGCAGCAGCGTTGCCTGCCAATCTAATTCGTGGCATGGAGACATTTTGTGTTCTGTCCTAGACATCATGCTGCTCCTCTGAGGATCCATAAGCACACCTCAAGCATTCACTGAGATTGGCATACCGTGAGGACCTCTGCTGAACGCCTATTGCACCCGCGCTGTGGCGGTTAGCTTGAGGGTAAAGTGATTTGTCTTAGCTGAAATTTCAAAATGCGGGGGTGGATGGACGAACTTCACGCAACACTAAGCTGGGAAGCATGGCTCCAACTGACACGAGCAACAGGCGAACAGTGCACTGAGTCCGTCGTCCCGCGACGGGACGTTTTGCGCCTAAAACGGCAATCCGTCAGCGAACTCCTGTCAGCGACCATGACGGCGCCCGATGCTTTCAGCTGTGTTTTCAGGTAAACCCGATTGAAATCTGTGTGTGTCTGCTCAATTCTGTCCAAGGGTCGATCCTACTGAGGATACCGCCTCGGGCGCAACCAGCGGGCGGCCCGTTGCCCTTAATTCTGCCGCACGCTCCCGGCGCCAAAGGAAGAAGGCTGGACACCAGGAAAAGGAAAGGGATGCAGCTCGCCGCCGCAGGTAACCTCTGCCTGCCCTGCAAAGTCGCTGCGTTAATGTTTATCTGATTAGAGAACGCGAGAAGGCCCAAAAGGCAGACTTGCTGAGAGAAGTGGATCACTTGAGGCGGGCGCAGAGGGCGGGTATGTGGGCCTCTTCAATGATGAAACACGGCTGACCACCTCAGCTCTGGCAGGCCCTGAGACTTTGCGCGTGATGCGCGAAGTTAGAGACGGCATCAGCGAGACGCAGCTGCGTGAGCTGAGGAACAAGAAACGTGACTTCGAGAAGATGTACGGCGAGTTCGAGCCGCACTTCTTTCAGACGATCCTGGAGGAGCAGAAGTTGGGTCCCCAATCAACCTTCGTTGACCTGGGCTGTGGTATTGGCAATCTGCTTGTGCAGGCGGCCATCCAGAGCGGGTGCAGCGCCTTCGGCATCGAGCTGCGAGACGAGCTCATGGGCACGGCTGAAAGCCTCAAAGATAGGGCCCTGGCCGTCTGTGAACTGCACGGCATCAGCATGGGAAGCGTCACCATGGCATGGGGAGACATGGTCAAGACTCCGGCGGTCAAGGAGTGGATGAAGAAGGCCGACCTCGTTGTTGTGAATAACCTGAAGTTCTCAGCGACGTGTGAGGCTCCTGTCCACCTGCTCATTTGCAACACATGTCTGACATGTCGTAGTGAACCTGCAGATCTTGGACTCATTCCTTCCGCTCATGAAGCATGGTGCATGCGTCATAGCTACTGACCTGTTCATCAGCGGCAAGCAGACGCGACACGGGCAGTACAAGGTTGTGAAAGCGGGCTTTTTGATATACGTCCGTCAATTCTCCATGCTGAAGTATACTCTAACGGTCATCTCTCATGCAGGAGTACCCTGATGAGAGGACACTGGAGGTGACAGAGCAGAAATACCCCGAGCGGTCCATATCGTGGACTAACTCTTCAGCCCCATACTACATCCATCGCGTGCATGACCCAGCAATTGCCCGACGTCGGCAGGAACAACTGGGGAAGGTCTATACCGGGTCCGACCTTGGGAGCCACGCAGCATAGTCGACACTGGACTACAGCATGAGACAATATATTTCATTCCTACTGATGGGCCCATGTCTTTCGGCGGCTGAGAAGGCAAAGCACGGCCTTCATTGAAGCCCCACACCGACGCAGCTGACATACATGGTACTAGCAGCTGCGGGTACAGTTGCATGTAGAGTTGTGGCTCCATGTTGTCAGCAGTGGTGAGGCTGGCTCGTGCACTTACAGTCCGGACGCTTTCCGTCAAGGGTGCGCTTTTCATCCGCCTCACCTTCCTTACTTGGCGAAGATGTCCCACGCCACTGCAGCTGTCGTTGGTTCCCGTACCTCGGTCATCGACTTCCAGACATATCCAGCCCACAGATCGTCAATGTGAGCCCCTTATCCTAACTGGAGTTTCTGTCCCAATAACCAAAAGCTTCGGTTTATCATAAGCCTGTCACAGGACGATGTGACCGTGACAAATTGGTGACCGGCTGATGTGAAAAGACGGTTGCCTTCCCCTGACATTCCAGACCGCCATCTGACCTGATATTGTCGCAGACATGGAATCCCGCACATCTCTCACCACCTCCGAGAAAAACTGGTTGCAGAGCAAAGTGCCTGCTGATAACCAGCTTAATAAGGAGGTTAAGTCAGCCGCAGCTCACTTGCTCTCCCTCCGGGATGGGGAGATGCGGGTTCCCAAAAAACAGCTTGAGAGGGTAAGCCCCAGGTGTAGTATTGTAGCTGGATGTACTGCGCTGACACAGACATCAGGCCGTAAAGGCATACTGGAGGGCAATCCAGGATCCCGATGGCTCAACCGCAAATCGCCACCATCAGGCGTCTATCAAGGATTTGACCAAGAAGCCATCGCATGGTAATGGCCGCGCGTCAGGTGGCTTGGACGAAGAACAGGAACCAGAAGAAGACCGCGGCAATGGTCTGGATGGCACGAAGCAAAGGGGGGAGCGGAAGGGGAAGAGGAAGGCGAAGGCGAAGGCGAAGGCGAAAGGGAAGGGGGATGGGGATGGGGATGGGGCGGAGAACATGGTGGAGGAGAAGGAGCATGAACAGGAGGAGGAGGAGGAGGGGGAAGTGGCGAGAGCAAAGGCGAAGGCAAAGGCAAAGGGGAAGGGGAAGGGGAAGGGGAAGGGGAAGGGGAAGGGGAAGGGGAAGGGGAAGGGGAAGGGGAAGGGGAAGGGGAAGGGGAAGGGGAAGGGGAAGGAGGAGGAGGAGGAGGAGGAGGAAGATGCTGACCCGGGAGGCAAAGGAGAAGACGACAGGGATAAGACGGATCAGGTCGAGGATGAGGACGACGAGGACGACGAGGTACTGCCCGGGCCGGCAAAGCCCTCGTACCACACGCATGTCACGTGGTGCGCCGTCTCCCGCCACAGTCACCCGGAGGTGTGGGACAGAGTCCGCCGACGGCTCGCTAGGGAGACGCCTGGTACGCCATTTCAGATAGAACAAAAAGTCAACAAGAAGATCCGCCACGAATTCACGGAGGACGAGGTGGAAGCCTTCAAAGCTAGAGCCCGAGCAATCAACATCGGCCAACCGGCCAAGCAAGACCAAACATGGTGTGCCCTACGTGCTGCTGTTCTTTCCAACTAATCTAATCGCCACCCAGGTTTCGCAAGAGTCACTGCCGACAGACCATTGCGCGCTTCTTGAATTGGGCAATGGAAGTTGGTGGCGTGGCCGTTGTCGGGGTTGCTGCTTGGGTCGACGAAGAAAGTGGAGAGCTGGAAATGGTCAAGTCAGTGGCAGCCTGTTGTTCATATTTCTTTAGCGCCTGATTGGTGCACAGTGTCGGACCCAACGTCAAGAACGGCCCGCTGTTCGCGGAGAAGGAGAAAAATTGGCTGGCTCGAGGCCAGTTGTCAGACCGCGTCAAGGGCTGGGCTGCCGAGGTCTTCGGACTAGAGGACGGTGACCATGACATCGCCGCAATGGGCGACCATATAGAAGGTGGTTCTTTGCCGAGTTGGGCTCAGGTCAAACGTCGCCCTTGTCACTACCCGAGATTGCTGGCGGACCCTCCTGACAGCGCGAACACGAAATTACTGCGAAATGTGATCAGGCAGTATATCGCCCACGCCATGAGTAAGGTTCGCCGCTGGCAAAGGTTTCTTAGCTCATCTGTCTGATAGGCTTTCACAATCAATCCAAGGCCACTCGTTGGAGCCACCTGCGGGCAGAGTTGGATCCCAGCGCGTTCCCGGAGCCTGCTCCCGAGAGAGGCTCTGACCCCTACGCCATGGACCCATCCAGCATGAAGAAGGAGCCTATGCTCAAGTTCATTCGCCATTGGCTCCAGGCGCAGGAGGGTGGCAGCATGCCCGTTAAGCCCTTCGTCAGGAAAGCGTCTGGTGTGACTTCCCGCACGTCTGGATCTAGAACGCAAGCCCACAGGAAGACGAAGGCCCCGTCCATGGATCCGGGTCATCGTCCGAGGAGGAGCCAGCGGAGGAGACAAGCGACGAGGACAAGGACGAGGAAGAGGACGAGGACGAGGATGAGGAAGAGGACGAGGACGAGGAGGAAGGACCTGCGATAGGACGACGGTACGCACCCATGCACCCCTTCACTTCGCTGGTTCTGACTGCTCTAGGACGAGAAGGTCAAACGCGACTGCCATGTGAGTTCTGTTGCCGTCCGGAATATTGCGTCACTCACAGGATATTCAGGTCTCATAGCGCGGGTCCCAATAGGCATCAGCCCCAGAGTACTGTGTCACTCCTACTTGAGAACAACATGTCCATTGGGAAGCGCGCCATAGCACTCATCAAGCGCGCGAAAGAGACTTCGAACCGTGTCGCGGCTTCAGTGGCCGTCTACATGGTTCAAGTCTGCTTGGTGAGCAGCAACAGTGACATCAGGTATTTGTGTTACTCATGGCTGCTTGCTTTATAATGCGCAGGAGCATCCGAATGATGACGGGATCCCAGAAACCCCTCTAGACTTCCGTTTCCAGGACATCTTTTTAATCACCAACCTGGAGGACGTCTTGCAGGTATCCGTGTTCACCAGCGGGAAAGCGCAGCAATATGTGGACTGGGTTGTGAAGGCCAAGCCTCACCTTTTGGGCACACGCCCCCAAAAATGGGCTCGGAGGATTATCGTGATGCAGCTGATGCTGTACCCCGGATTTAAATCTAATCGACAGTTTACATACTCCTTATTACAATCTAGACGTAGAGCCTACGAGGCCGGCAATTTCCGTGAACCGCCTCGTGAGCTGAGCTGCCTACCCCGGGCGATGCCCTTATAGGGCAGCGCGCCTGCGGCGGGCCTCGCGCATGGCCTGCCCGCGCTCGGGCAGCTCGCGTGACGCGCTGATGCGATGTGCTCACGCCACGTGCACCCGATCGACGCGTCGCTGGCGCGTCGCGCGGCGTCGCCACGGGTCGCGTCGAGCGCGGAAAGGATACTTAAAGTGTTATATATATATATATATATATATATATGCGTAGGGTCTATGGAAGGGGGAAGGGGGGCAGAATTGGTAGAAACACGAAAACCAGCACGGGCAAAATTCGGCCCGCGCCGATCGCGCTCCTGCCCCTTGCGAGGGGCCAGGGGCGGGTAAGGAGAAGGCGGGATGGGGAGGGGACTCACCCCGAGCTACGCGCGCGCATCCGCGTCAAAGGACGCGTCTGCGGCGGCCGCGTAGCAGCACGAGGGAGGGGGAGGAGATGGGGGGAGGAGGGGATGGGTATAGCTCCCAACTCGTGGACGCGCGCGAGGCGCTGCAGGGATATATCTGAGCAGTATTCACCTAGGGCGCATAGCACGCCCTAGGCAAAGTCCTCGCGCCCTCAAACGCGCGCACCAAGACCGATGTGAGTGTGGGGTGGGCAGGCCAAAATCGCCCCACCCGACCCCCTGCTCACTAGCATATTCGCCTTGCAGCGGGGAACACTTATTAGTTGAAAGCACAAAAGCGGTGCGCGATGACGCACCGCTGCCAACACTCCTCCCGCGCCTCGCCCGGGGTCGTCATCTGGCACTGGGTTGTCGTGTTGGGCGGCGTGATCGTTATCAGCAGCGGCGGAGACGTCGGTGGTCACTAGGAAGGGGAAACCAGGTCGAGGGGTGAGCGCGGTGGGCAAGAAGGCGGGCTGCGCGGTGATGGCGGTCGAAGTCGAGGGGTGGCGATTTGTGATGTGACTTCGGGACCGTTATCCTGTTCTTTGGGACCGCACGAGGCCCGGGCCGAGCGTCCGAAAGCGTTCATCGTTGTCTTGAATGGCTTCGGAAAGTCACCGAGGGGCAAGGGAACCCATAAAAAGTGGATATAAGTATCAAGCGCATGATACAGCATGTAGATATGAAAAATCTAGCTGAAGAGAGGTCAAGAACGTACTCAAATCTTGCAAAATCTCGGAAATCAGCCTTTGATGAATACATCGGTCATTGTAATCCACTCTGGGGATATTTCAAAGCGGTTACAGGACGTTTGTGTGACGATAAGCTTCCCCCAGATGTCCAAGAAATTTGAGGGCAAGCAAGGGTCATGGCAGGTGTGTAGCAGGGGGTAGGTACCTAGAGATGTTGCCTCGAAGGGTAGTGATTGATCCCTTCTTTGCTTCTTGGACCCGAGCTCGACTTGTACAACCTCCTAATCTCAGAGCGTTCCCAGAATTTCAGAAACAAATGTAGTAGAATTCTAGTAATATATTGCGAAGGAATCACATCTTCATTGGTCCCTCGGCCTGCGTCCGAGACCGTCGAGCGCAACGACGACGACATTCGGCGGTCGGATCGAGACTCCGGCCCGATCCTCCGCTGTGTCCCACCGCGCGTCATCTTGCCTCTGACCACCACCCTCGCACTCCCTTCGTCGCCCCCGCAGCCACCAGCCACCCCTGCCCCCTCTCCATCCTCCCTTTCACCTCGAAAAGCCGCGTGTGCCATGTGCCACATCAAGACCGGCACATATAGCGACAAAATGCGCCGGATGACGCGAGCCACCGAGGCGTGCGCGGAGGGGGAACGCGGGTGCGTGTACACGCCCCATATTATTCATATTACTTACCAACTAAGTGTGTTGCAAATGGCGACGCGAGAAGGGCGGGGAGCGGGGCGATATTCCCCCGTTCTCTTGCTATCGCGCCAAGTTAGCCCTCAGACGTGGTCTGAGGGCGCGGGGTTCTCATCTAGGGCGCGCATATGCGCTCTAGATGGGTCCCCGCATTTTCTTTGCTGCCGCGTTGCGACTCGCAGCCGCGCCTTGTGCGCGTGCGAGGTAGCCGGCCATCCCCCTCTCCTCCCCTCCTCTCTCTCCCGCGCAGACTTGCCTTCATGGCGAGTCTTCACGCGATGAGAGACGCGCTTTCCCCTGCTGGGCTCGTCCTCAGATCGTGCCGCGCATCTGCTGTCGCTGGCCGCGGCCCTACCCGCGCGCACGCTGCGGTTGCCCAGCGGTGGAGGCCGGTCGAATGGGCATACCATTTCCCGTCCCCCCTCACATCACCCTGGGCGTACCTGTTGAGTCCGCCTCCCCGCGGGCTCTGCAGACGCGTTGGGCGTACATAACGCACATTTCCCCTCCCTCCCTCGCACTGCTACGCGGCCGCGACGAACGCGTTTCTCGACGCGGACGCGCGCGCGTAGCTCGGGGTGAGCTCCCTCTTCCCTCCCTCCTCCTTCTTACGCGTGCCCCCACCCTCGCGAGCGGCAGGGACACGATCGGCGCGAGCGAAATTTTCGCTCGCGCCGTTTTTCACCTTTTGCCGTGACTCTCTTGCCCCCTCCCCCTCATATAGGCATGGGTACATCATACCCACCCATGAACTATCATTTTCTATCTTTCCTGCGCTCGATACGCCCCGCGGTGCCGCCGCGCGACGCGCCGACGACGCGTCGGGCAGACGCACGTGACCTGAACGTGTCGCATCAGCGCATCACGCGAACCGCCCGAGCGCGGGCAGGCCATGCGCGAGGCCCGCCGCGGGCGCGCTGCCCTATAAGGGCATCGCCCGGGATAGGCAGCTCAGCTCACGAGGCGGTTCACGGAAATTGCCGGCCTCGTAGGCTCTACGTCTAGATTGTAATAAGGAGTATGTAAACTGTCGATTAGATTTAAATCCGGGGTACAGCATAAGGTGCGTGATGGCCATCGCTACGGGCTTGCTTCACCTCGCTATCGACAGCCAAGGCTATGCAGAGGTGGAGCCTGATGATGAGGACAGTCCTTACTATCCCGGCCTGGGTTGGGAGATCAAGGACCACAAAAAGCTGATGGCCGGCATTCTCAGGGCGCTGCACACTGGCCCGGACAAGGACAGCCTCAGTCCTTGCCCGAAGACCACCGCCGCCCTAGCAAAGGACCTACCAGGCGTGGGAATCGAAGACTACGTTGAATCTCATTCCAGCGCGCGCGATGACACTGCCGTGGCGGCCATGTGTCAACGCGCAGGCGTGCACGCCGGCGGTGCCAGCGGTTCTACTCTGTGAGTCGCGCTTCGGGGTGTGGGGAGCGGACTGAACTGGAAATCTGCAGAGCTAGCAAGCGCAAGGCGGCCACGGACAGTCAGCCGTCGAAAGCCTCCAAACGGCCACGCAACGTCCAGGATGTGGATGATTCGTAAGTGTTCATGGGAGGGCAGAGATAATCCCGGCTGAATGAGTTGCAGGGCAGACGTGCAGATGGAAGAGCAGGAGGTTTCCATCCCTCCGCGAAAGTTGAGGTACGCCCCCATGTATGCTCCATGTCTCAAACATGCTCTGACTAAGGAAAAGGTCCGAAACCAAGAGGGACGACTCCATTGCACAGTGTCAAAAGTAGGGTATAGAGGGGCGAGTCTGCCTCCTCCCATGGGCGGACGGTTTGCCTCGCGTCCACGCTTTTGGTCCGCCTTCCTATTCGGGAAGAACTTTCCCACGCCGCTCCGGGGGCGTCCATATTTATCCTTACTGTACATCTCTTTTCCCTCAGTCGCTATTCCACTAGCAGGAAGACTGAGGGTATGTTTCTCACTTACTATACTCATACTATTTACTGACTGTACTTTAGTCTTGCGCGTCCTGCGCTTCTTTAGGTATGAATATTAGTCGCTATTCCACTAGCAGGAAGACTGAGGTCTTGCGCGTCCTGCGCTTCTTTAGCTCGTGAAACACAGCAGGGGGTCAGAACATTGTATGCAGCCGCTGCCCCATAACCATTCAAGTTCACGTCTAAGTACATTCACAGGAGGAAACACACACCCACTGCCAAGGCCGCCGCGATGCTGCTAAAGCGCTCCAAGAAGTCAAAAGGCCCTTGAGCGCGTTTGCTGTCTAGGTCTACGCTCTTTTGTACAGTGGTCTAGGTCTTCTAGCACTTTGACTTTGATTGGGATGTAGCTTGTGCCGATGCAGATATATGTACATTTGCCCGTGTCGTCTATGGAGGGACGGCTACGACAGAGGCAGCGCAATGGCTGACTGGCTACCGGGGCTATACCCCCATTTAGGAAGTACAAGCTGGGAATGTGCCTGGCGATCACAGATTCGTGAGAATTGATGGTATGACTTGTGCCCGATTTGGCATAGTCACGCAAGCCATTCACCCATCACCCTCTTCATCCATCCCCCGTCGCTCGTCCTCGCAGCCTATACAATAATGTCCAGAAGCCGAAAGGGTGGGGGGTTTACTCCAATAGCGCAGGGCAGCATTGTACGTAGCATGACAACCAGGCGGACGCCGGGGGGAAAGGAAGTTTATGTGGAGAGGGAAGATTTCGTGCCCAGCCCACGTCTTCGCAGCCCCCAGAAGGGTCAGCGGCGGCCCTTGAGTGGGAGTGGTACGACTACACCCCGCAAATGGGGCCATATTGGGAGTCCCTCGCCTTCGCCTCGAAAGAGACGGACGGCGGTAAAGGTGCGTGACGTATACTGTGAAGAGATGTCCATTTAACGAGACTGAAGACTTCAAACAATCACATGCACGCGTGGTTACATAGACGGGCAGCCTACGAGGACGTCCTCATGCGTTGATTCGAGCCCAGCAAGCACAAGTGTCAATGCGGTGCAGCTACTGCTTCATACCTCTGCGAGACCTGCCTGGGGCGTAAGAGGCAATGCAGAGGCTGCATCCTTCGCGAGCACGCGTCCATGCCGTTCCATCACATCCGAAAGCATGACGGTCGCTCTTCAACGGCTACCGACCTTGGCGCGTTAGGCCAAGTTATCTGGTTGGGCCATGGAGGAGAGCCGTGCCCAGCCACCCTCGCGCACGTCCGGCTTCCTATGGACGAGCGTTGGTGTGATGAGGGGGAAGAGGAGGAGGACGACAATCTCAGTGACCTCCTCAGGGACTGTGACCTGCGATAGGGACATCGTTTAATTATCGGTGATGTCGAGGGTATCTGGTGTCGTACGGTATACTGGTGTACGTGCCCCACTGCGGAGGATAAGGATATCCAGCTGCTGCACACCGGTTTGTACCCGGGTACCGAGGATGAGCCAGCCACTGCGTTCACATTGACGATGCTGGATGACTTCCTCCTATCGCAGTGCGAGGGTCGGATGTCTGCCCAAGGATATGTCCAGAAGTTGCGGAGGATGGCCAACCCAGCGTTCCCTTATCGAGTTTCGGTGAGTGGGGAATATAAGCAATAAGTGACCTTACTAACGAGGCGTAGGATGTCTATAGACCATTCCTGCGCGCCATGCGTCAGTATACCAACATGATCACGAGAGCTAAAGCAGGTGTCGCTCACAAGATTCGGAGAGATCAAGTCCGCATAGCTAGACCGCCAGGAGATCTGGCTTGGCGCTGCCCAGCATGCCCCCAGCCGGGATATAATTTGCCTCCAGAAGACCAGAGAGACGCAGACCATCCGTACGTACCTTGTTGCTCCAACGAGGAAAACAGTGGACTCAACATCCAGTCAGAGAGCTTTACATGCCCATGTTCACGCACGACGGTTGCTTCAAGTTGAACAACCAGCGTACCCGCAATCCCGATGCTGATGTGCGCCTCAGCAACGGTGAGTGCATGCTTGTCGGGAGCAGGCAATACCAGACGCACCTCAAAGTGACCAAGGAGCCCGCCAATGTACGTGCTCTGACCACTGCCCCACCTGTCATCCACGTGACAATTCACTGCAGAGGAAATCCTGTCAGAATCACCGGGCGGTTGCCAGCAGTCGATCGAGAGATCGCAACTTAGCTGCCAGTGGAGTGGGCACATACACCTATGCCCCTCATGGTCTGTTCATCCCGCACACCACCGTTGATTACCAGAAAGGCGAAGCGTGCGTACTACAGTCGGAAAGTCGCCAGCATCCCCTGATGGTATGACTGCGTAGGCAAATGAACACAGACTACTCAACCTCATGCCTCATAGAAGGGTTGTCTGCAGAAACGCACAAGATCCTCATCGCCTACGACATCATGTGCGAGTATATCGTCAACCTCAAGACGCACCTAACCGAAGGACCCTACCTTACCAACCGTGCGATCGACATTGAGGCCGCTGTGGGCAAGTTCCATCTCGGCGCACACATCCGAGAGTGCTTCGCCAAATTCTCCCCAACTTCATCAAGGGAGCCGGCCAGCTGGACGGAGAGATCCTGGAAACGCTCTGGGCAACCCTAGAGAAGCTGGCCTCCAATACAAGGAGCATGTCACCCGCCCATAGGCAGGAAGTTCTTGATCTGCTCATGAACGACATGAACTGGAAGAAGATCATTCAACTAGGTGGGTGACAAACGGCCGCAGTGAATGATTGACTCACAGGATGGTCGCCTCACGCAGCCGACGTCCTTAAGAAGAAGGCGATGAAGGCCTCCGTCGAGTGCAAGCACGCCCGCGCCGCATATTAGGAGCTCAAGGACACACTATCCGATCAGCAGACAGCTCGGTGGCTACAAGAGGAGCGTGAGTCCTTGGCGGAGGGCCGAGAGGGAAAGAGCGTGTATGACATACAAGAGGAACAAGGTGAGCCTTGCATGACGGGTCTGCATGCGCCCTTATAGACTGCAGTTTTAGTCCCCGGTGTTGCGGAGCGCGCCCTCGCAGTAGCGAGGCGGTATGAGGATGATAATGTGGAGGAGCCCATCGGGTTAGAGTTGCTGAGGGAGGCCATGAGGATTGAGAGTGTGCAGTGCGTGTCTAGAATGTCATGATGACACCGCGTTTTCTCACAAAGACAAGGGACAATCTACTTCCTCTGGCTAAGCAGCAAAACAGGACGGCCTCGCAAGAGCGTCAGCTGCTGCTCAGACGGGGCAAGCTACACAAAAGGATTTGCAAATTCGAAACACGGATCGCGAAGGTTCTCGATGCTGCCCCCGTGGAGGGCGAGGTTGCCTTGGGAGATGAAGAATTGGAGGAATGGCTTGGAGATGAAGGGGAAGCAGAGAGCGAAGGGGAGGTGGATGAGAGGGAGGGTGAGGGAGAGGATGAGGATGAGGACCCCGACGCGCCTGACGTCAGGCTGCCAGAGCGCGAGCGGCTCACTCTGCCCTTGACCACTGGGCACATCACCGGGGAATTGGCAGACTTGGAGAGGGACCTTCGGGACGGCCAACGAGCGGATGCCCTGCGAGGCGTTAGGCTAGGCCTTGCAGAGAGAGCCCGCTTGTATCGCACCTCCGTGCGTCGCGGCCGAGGGAGTCACAAGACGACTACAAGGGCTTTTGCAGCGTTACGTAAGTCAGGCGCACGCATCGCCCGCCACGTGCGGATGTACCACCGCGCCCGTGACGCCCTAATTGCCCTCGGCAAGGACGAATCACAGCTACCGAAGATAGATAGTCAAGACCTCCGCATCAACAAGGACTGGACAGAGGAGAACAGGACAGGCCAACGCTCCCATACCTTACCCTGGTTCTGGCGGGTCGGCAACAGTGCAGCCGCGAAAAGATGGGACAGAAGCCGCTGGTGTCCATGACCGTAAGCGGGACCAAAGAGCGTTCTTTTGGATACTGATTGGTACTGCAGTATACAGAGTGAGCTTCCTGCAAGCCAAGTGCCGACTGGAGCGATGGGAAGAAGAGGAGCGTCTGGTAAGCCACGAGATGCTGTGGACTCGGCTAGCCTTCAAAAAGCAGCAGGGTACATGGCAAGCGGCAGGGGACGCTGCGAGGTCGTCCACAGAAGGTGCGGGATGGGCTGCGTATGCCTATAACCAAGCGGACATGTGGGGCTCGTTGGCGACTGAATGCGTGGCAAAGTTTCAGGACTACGCGGGAACCCTTCCAGGGTGGGAGCAGAGCAGTAGGTAGTAGCTATGATCCATGTACCATGTACATAACCTCGTATCTCCATTGACAAAGTATGAAGGTGAGTGTGTGCCATTGTGGCTGAGAGAGCATGGGCCATCAATGTACCGGCCAACAAAGGGTATCTCACCAGCTTGGCTGAAACCGGCGAGCGCACACACGGTGGACGACCTGAGGTGGAGCCGCCGTCTAACCGCGTTGGCTGCATCTCATATGGTGGTGCAGGCCCAGCAGGAAAAGCAGCGTCTCACATGCAGCCGGCAACCCCGTCTGACGTCGACTCTGTAACACCAGCACTTGCACTTGACACGGCGCCGGCGGCTCGGCCTGTCAAGCCAGGTGGGGTGGCAGTCGCTGGCCAGCCGTCTGTGCCGCACGAGCTGGACTGAACGTGGCCGGCCATTCCACTTCATGTGGTGTGTAATGGAAATAAGGGTCTGTGCCTTGCGCCGCCTCTCGTTTCCTACCACCATCATCTATCACGTTCATCTCAGATCCGTCACCCATGGTAAGGGAAAGAGGTTTTGAGGGCTCTGGGACATTCAGGTGTGTCCGCTACACATGCGGTTACAATATTTAACTGATCTCTTAATTCTCTTTTTCCTTTCATCGAGCGCGTGTACCAGAAGACGTATATCATCGGGGGATGCGAAGGGGGATCAGCCGCTGTCACCTCCGCCGTAGCAAGACACGGATGATCCCCCCTAGTAGCCCTCGCCAACGCGCGCCTTCATGGACGCAAGCGCGATCAACAGGACAACAAATAAAGAATGATCGGCATCATTGGTGCGTTTCCCCTCGCCAATGTTGCCGCTCCCCTCCCTGTGCTTTCCCCTCCCCCCTCCCCCTCTTCTTGCTCTTCCAACAGCCGCACTATGCCAAAAAGCGCCAGGATCACCATCCACGTGGGTAAACACACGTCGCAAGCCCCCAAACATTCTGTCCCTCCCCACCACCACTTTTCCTCTGCACGACGCAAGCACGTCGCGCCGTCTCGCTTGTGAGATGATTGCTAGCGCGTTCAGTGTGCCGAGCGTGCTCAATCACGGAGCTGAGTGCGCGCGTGTGACACTCTTCTGCCCCCTACTTGGGTGTAGGGAGGCTCGCTGCGCGTAGCCGGGAATGCGGGCGCTACTGATGCGTCACTGCAATGCGTCACCCACGCGAGGCCAGCTGTGCACTTGATAGGTCAAACATATTGCGCACCCTGCCCTGTCCCTCATTCCCTTCCCCCTCCCCTACTCCCACTTTTTATCAACAAATTGTATTAATGGTATATACACGTTCTGTATATACAAAATTTCTTTGTTCTACAACAGCGCCGACATTGCGTGGAGCGGCAAGTGCGGGCGATCACGACGACGGCAATGACACGTTGCCATGACACGCACGCTCAGCCGGCGCGCACCGAGCCAGAATCCCAAAGGCACAGAGGCACAAGGCACAACAGGCCACGCTCTGTGCCATCTCCGAGCCACACCCTGCTCACATCCCAGACAAGCTCGAGCCGGCAAGCCCTGCCCTACAGGCCGGACCGGTCCACTAGCACAAGACGGGCTGGTGACTTACCGGTAAATTCCCCGGAGGTTTCCCATGCATATTGCAATGTGCTCCTGGGAGATCTCTGGGTTATATTGTATATTACCACACAGCATCAGCTGAGCATGAGTGGGAATGGCGGCAACACCTCCCAAAGAGTCAAGGGTGGGCACATAGTGCCCCAACTTGTGATCAAGGCACCTAAGAATGACCAGCCAATAAGAATCCTGGGATTAGCTATGTGCTGTGGTCTGCTGGGCATGCTCAGCTGTCTCTCAAGCATGTTACCTGAGCCCACCCAATCTATTAGGCCAACTCAAAGATCCAAAACCCAGACAGTTCAGTCAAAGGTCAGTGGGCTACAACCAAAATGGGTTGAAAACTGGCTGGGGACGACGACGCGTCGTTCAAATTGCTCAAAAAGGAAGGTGGGTCACATTAGTCACAGTAACATTCTATGTTCAAATCCAGCTGCACCTTGGTAGCGTGTTGCAAATTGAAAGCTCTTTCAAGTCGCCAAATGCATCTCATCTCTTTCTAGCTTGGTCTACCAATGAGTCTGAGCAAATCTCTTAATTAGATGTACATCATTCAGCATGAGTACAAGATGCAGATTTTGTCCTGCCTGAGATCACTGCTTACTTGATTTAGTAAGATCTTCTTACAAACACCTTCGTCAGGAAAAGCGGGCCGGGGGCCGAAGCGGATTCAGCCGGACTCAAGCAGGCTCAAGCGTCTCAAACGCTCAAGAGCTTCAAAAGTTATTGCCCGAAATCAAACACTCTCAAGACACTTGACTCACCCTTGAACCCGCTTGAGCCCACTTGAGTTGGTTTGAGTTCAGCCAAGCATCATGAGCCCACTTCAGTTTACATCTTTTCAATCACTAGATTCATTTGATTGATCACTAAACTGGTTAATTATTGATCACAGTCACTAACTCATAATCTATACTACAGTGTAAGACTACATTTTTCAGGGCTACTCACTGAAACCTAGCCTAGCCAGTCCCCGACACTCGCCATCACTGGGATGTGCTTGTTGTCAACGTCTACACTCCTCATCATCGCCCCGACACACCCTCCCGAGCATTACAACATGTGGTCATGCCAACCTTCCCAATCCGTTGCGCGCACCTGCCACCGCCTCCGAAGCTCCCGTGCGTCAGTCGCACGCATTCCCGCACACGTACCTGCATCTGCCGCCCGCCCCGTTCTTGTTGTCGCCCAACGCGCACCTTCCAACACCGTGGCACGTGTCTGTGCCGCTCGCGCTTGAACGTGTTGTGTGAAGCCTGACTTCATACTGCAAAGTTATCTGCTGCGTGAGTAGAATGCGGAGACCAAAAAACGTGTCGTGCACACCTTGCGCTACCATCAGCACGTCCTGTGCTTACGTGCTCCTGCACATCATCATGTGTTGTTGTGTGCTCGCGTGGTCTGGAAAACTCTCCACTCGGCAAGTGCCGAGCTCGTACTTGCATGCCTGCTGTTGATTTGCCGCTCGTCAGATAGCACGCTTGGATGAGAAGCATGCCCCGCGTCGTCCTGCGCATCGCCGCGTCCACTCTCACAGCCGCACCGGCTGCCGCTCCGGTCCGTCCCGAGCGCGCGGCGTCCCCCTTGCCATGTTCAGCGAATGTATGCAAGCCGGGCAAGGTGCACGTACTTCACTTCGCGCGGCCGCCACGGACCACGGACACAAGAGATCAATACAAGCGTCAATGTGGACATGCCACGTCACGCGGTGATTGGCCGTCGCGCGCGGCGACGGGGGCGAGCATAGACCACCCGCGCGAACAAGACGTGCGGCAGGTAAATGGGAATTGAGAGCGGGATGGTGGACAGCAGCGATGGCGATGCGGCCGACGTCTGACCTGCATTGGCGGTTGCTTTGGTAACGTGTTTTGGGGCGCGTCAGGCCGCAGTGAGGTAGATGTGGTGGTGGTGGTGGTGGTGGTGGTGGTGGTGGTGGTGGTAGTGGCTGCGACGTCGAAGGAACGTAGATGGAGGACACCGCGCAGCTGCGCTGCTGACGCGCGTCGAGCGACAGGAAGGACGAAGGCAAGACGACGATCGACTGCGGCGGACTTGTTCCGAGAAGCCACGTGATCACGTGATCTCGGAAGCTCGGCGCGGAACGCCGAGCTTCGCCTCGTCCAGTGGCGCGGCCGTTGTTGCCGCCCTCGCCTCTCCTATCCGCGTGGTTTTGCACTTTTCTCTCATGTAGTTCTCTCTAGGGTAATGCTAGATTAATTCACATGTATTATAACAGAGGGCCCACTGTCTTCCATTCCCTCTGAGTATGCTCTACTAAGGCCTTATTTACGTGTGGTTACTTTACTTGAAGCATACTGTATACAATATAATAACTCAGACTATGGCTGAAGATGTTTGTGAGTAGTCAAAGATCTATCAGTCCTCTTGAGTACACTTGACATGGGCCCTAGAATCCTCAAGTGCTTTCAAGTGGGCTCAAGCCGGCTCAAGAGCATTTAAGCGCCTTCGGGAGCTGCCAAAATCTCAAACGGTCTCAAGCAGCTTGGCCGCGGGGGTGTTTTTGGTGATGTTCACAGAATACCTCTAGATCTCAAGCACCAAGTTAAGCATGGCCTATTTAGGGCTTGCACTGCTTAGTGCATGGGCTAGTTAGCAAGTGCACTAAATAAGGCACACACTAATTAGGGCATGCACTATCTAGCATGTTCACTAATGAAAGCGCGCGCTAATTAGCGCACACCTTAATTAGGGCGCGCCTTAATTAGGGCGCGTGTTAAATAAGGTGCGCGCTAAATAGAGCGTGGACTAATTAGTGCATGCGCTAATTAAGGTGCGCGCTAAATAGGGTGTGCACTAAATAGTGCATGCCCTAAATAAGGTGTGCACTAATTAGGGCACTTGCTAATTAGGGCGCGCATTAATTAAGGCAAGCGCTAAATAGGGTGTGCACTATTTAGTGCTCGTCATCTAGTGCGTGTTCTATTGAGTGCATGCGCTAATGAGTGTGTGTGCTCCTTACACAATATATGAACAAGTGCATTGCTTATTTAGTGCTTGTCCTGATATGAGGACTTGGTCTGAACTTTGATCGCAAAGGCATACTTCACAAGCAGAGTCTGAGATAGACCTCATGACTTGGGACAAGCAATGCTTAGCAATAGATTGGATATTTCTGGTCTGATTGTTGATACATGAGAAGTTCTGTACTTAGGGCACAACATCTGAATTGAGGCAGGTATGCAATCAAGCTGATTTTCAAGGGCATAGGGAGCTACCACCTGTCCTTTCCACCATCACTGAGGGTATATATGGCAGTAGGAAGGTATATAAGAAGCTAGGAGCAAGTACACAGTGTAAGGGGACCAGCCGGGAGTGGCCGAGTGGAGACGGTAGTGGAGACGAGGCTAACGTCTAGGCAGCCATGGTCCCCGGACAGCCACACCACCTAGAGGGAGGCGTGACGTCCTAGAAGGGTGAAGAGCATCACGGTGGACGAGGGAGAGGATCGACGGTGATGGCGGGTCGTGACCGACGATAGAAGAGGGAGTAGGGTAGGGCGTAGCTCGGTAGAGAGAGGAGGGCAAGCGTACTGAATACCACTACACAGTGGACCCATGCGTGAGCCATACATGGGGGGGCGCCCACGAGTAGGGTGCCCGGTAGGCAGCGCCGCCAGCGCCTACACGAGGTGGAGGGTAGTGACGAGGGGGCGGCGTCACTAGGAGAGTGGGAAGGTGTATTGGTCAGAGACATGACCGGTGGCGGTGATCGATGGATGGCGGCATCGGTCAGGGAAGGGGGATGCGACCAGGACGAGTGGCCAGCGAGGCGAGGGGAGGTGAGCCCACAAC